GTACTTTGGCTGTGGCACTTGCGACGTGTATAATACAGCTGCTTGACTCGATTGCTGGGCCGACAAAGTTTTCGCCAACTCGCACAAACGCCAACTCGCTTAAATTGGCAACAACAAATTCGGTGTTGTAAAAAAGTATTAAGGGAAAATCAGAAGATTCTTTCAAGTGTGTTTAAATTGTGCATGTTTCTGAACTTTCTTGGCCGGCGAATTTGGCATACAAGTTTGTGGCGCAATAAATTGATTTTCACGCAGCGGTGTTGGTACGAGTAGTATTGTGGAGACCAGTTACGGCGATTTCTGGGTCAACGGAAGGCGTTGAAATGCCAGCACTTGCTAACTGCCAGATGGCGCTGTAGAGCAACTTTTGCTATAAATTCGGGACAGTTGCCGAAAGTATTGATGTATAACTAGTTGCGTCCTGTTTTTTCTCGCTCATAATATGAATAACTGAAACTGTAACATTTTTCGCATCTTTCCGAGGGTTTACGGATTTCATCTCAAAAGCACTGTTCCGCCGTGGCAGCCAAGAATGAATCAAGCCAATTTTTGATACGCTGTTTTGATGTGAACCGTATTACGCTGCGGGTTTTATGCAACGACCCGAGAAAATGGTGGTTAGAAAGGGTAAGATCTGGGCTATTAGCGTGGTGTGTCAAATTTACAAGGCGTTTTTTCCAAATAGTTTTAATCCGGTCTTAAAACTTAAGGCGGAACTCTGCCTTGATCGCCAATTATTGCCTCGTGTCTAGTTGCAAATTCCAGAGGCTTTTCCATAATCGCTCGTATCAATTTGATAAGCTGTTGTTGACAGCGTTTTCTAATAATGTTTTCACGCGGTTTTAGAAGCTTTTTCGGCTTTAAAAACTCACAGTACAGCTTGCCCTTTGGAACCTAACATAGAAGGATCGCGATTGTTGCTAGGTTATCAAAATGCACTTTTTTGTGTTGTAATGGTTCCGATTTTCATCAACAGTCACAATACGACTCTTTTTGCAACGTTCAAGACCGAATAATTGCCTCACTCGGTGCGCAAGTTGTCCAAATGGACACTCAATTATAACACGCCACTTTTTGGCAACTTTTAAACTTTATTTCGAACTTGTTTTTCGCATTTTCTTTAAATCTAATAACCTTCGCTTTCATTGCAGTTCGAATTCGCAAAGCCTTAACTTTCTAGCATTACCGCCATTTCCGCCGTTTCCTCGCCAATTGCCGCTTGCCATGGCTTGCTTTGCATTTAAATAAACTCGCACTTTCCACTAAGCACACTCGTATCCACAACGAAGCGAGCGCGATTGCAATGGTGGCTTTGCACGACGTTCCTTTCCAACTGCATGCAGACCAACGAGCGACAGGATGTGAATAGGATAATGGTATAAAGTTTTCAATAGAGTCGAAAAGCAACTTCCGTGGAGTCGAAAATAAAATAAATAGAAAAAAATTGTGCAAAAAATGCAAAAAAAAAAAATTGCAAAGAGTAAAGCAAACAACAAAAAAAAAATGGAGCAAAGCTGGGAAAGCAACCCACTTTCGGTAAGCAAAGAAGCCAAGGAAGAGTAGCAAGAAAGACTGCAGCAACTAGAATGTGGCACAGCTCACCGCTGCTGTCTGAAAGCAGATAAAAAGGCAGGCATTGTTGGCAATGGTAAACTAGCAATCGACAAGCGCTTAGAAGCTGAACGCCAGCGGTAAAGCGGGTGCGGCAAAGGCAGGCACACGGAGAGGATTGCCTGGCGAGCAAAGACACAAATAACTGAAAGCGAGTAAAAAGCGAAAATAAATGGAGTAAATAAAAATAAAAAATATAGAAAGAAAAATATAGGTGAACTGCGCATAAGCTACTGACCAGCTAGAGCAACACACAGCGAGGAAGCAGGGCCACTAAGCAAAGTGTGTCGTCCTCGCCGCTAGAACATGCTGAGCGAGGTTTCAGCGCGGCTGGCGGCCGGACAACTTTAGCTGCATACGTGTCTGGTGCGCAGCTCTCCAGCCAATACATGCACGCTGTGGAAAATTATTATTTGTGGCATGTTATACAGTATTTTGTATTTGTGTTGCATGCGGCTGAGTGCCAAAGTTTCTGCGCCTATACGTTGTAGATAACACGCTCAAACTTTATTGACACGAGCAGCAAGCTTTTTATTTTATGTTTTTGTTATTGCTGTTGCTTTGCAGCAGCGCGTTTTTATTTTTGATTTAGTGGCGGTGAAGAAGTTTTGAAATACCGTTAGTGTATATTGAAATAAATTATGAGCGCGGCGATTTGATATACGGGACTAAACTGGGAAGTTAAAGGATAGAGAGTAAAGTAGAGAGACTTAGCGCATTGAAAAAAAAAAAAAACGCTGCATATTTCTTTCAACTAAAAACATGAGTTTGAAATTCTCAACTGATTTTTAAAAATAATTTTATATAGCAATAAGTGCCATGAACGCAACTAATTGCGGGCATTATGTGTTGAAAATTTAGTAAATATATCTTTCATATCAAAAAATGTGACTGAAATTCTCAAGAGGTTTTACAAAAATTTTTATTTACGGGTAAGTGTGTGGAGCTCAACTAATTGCAGGTATTATGTAGTGGGACTCAGAGAGAGCGCGAAAAAAACAACGAAATGTCAGTGCCAGTGAAGTTAGTAGACACCTTTTTTTAAATACAAGCCTGCCACCAATCAAACGTTACCAGCAGAAGTTTCAGAGCTGATCTTCATCGTAGCAGTATCATTTCTTTCTTAAAGTTATTACAAAAGTATTTGATTGCTATTTTCAACAGCTAATTTTTATTCTACATATGTATATTCTATTCTAACTTCATGCCAACACCCTCTCCCTTTCGCTCTTCGACGCCCTGACTCACGCTCCGACATGTTTACCAAGTCAAACAACGAATCATAAAATAATTTTACACAGAACTTTTACTTGTTGGCATTTCCACAAATTTGCACGACAACAACAGCAAGTGCAAAACATGTGCATAAATGCAACATTGTTTCCGACACAAAAATGCAAGAGTGATGAGACACCAGCAAGCCAGCAAGAAAGGCATAAGTTTCGTGCTAATGCATAACTGTAAATGTATGTCAAAAGCAAAAGTCTGGAGAACAGTTGAAGATAAATGACACCGACAAAGAAAGCGCAAGAGCTGCGCACAAAAACTTCCAGCACACAGCTAAAGTGAGGCAATAACTTTGCTTGATGCAGATTTAATTGCATAAAGCATAACTGGAATGTGTGTGGTTGTGTGCGAGTGCAAAGTTTTTGAATTTTTGGAAAGCCAGAAAGTTGTGCAAGAATTAAACAAAATCAAACTGTAATTTACTCAGGCCTAATCTGTAGGGCTTGAGGGCGAAGTAATGGGTTTACGCAGGATTGGACGGTTTTACACGCTCTGGCTAGGCTTTAGGGTTAAGTTGGCATGTGTTACCTTCTCAGAATGTCTAGTGTAGAATTCAGAAAATTTTCGACGAGTTGGAAGATTCTTTAGATGGTCTCCGTGCCTTTTCTGTAGTGGTGGATACATTCTCATATCTTCAGATATAGGGATGTATAGGTTTTAGTGTTTCTTTTCCTCGAGTTTGCAGTAAACCTTATAAAACCGAAGGACAAAATCGGTATGTCCGAAGTCGAATTTGAAGTTCTTTGCTTACCATCCAAAACTTTAAAGTGAGAAGTATTTTTAGACTTTTGGCTGACTTTAGATTGTGGTCGTAGAGACTATTTGAGTGTGTAAGGGAAGCCCTAAAGTAATAAAACCAAAGGAGAGAATGGGATTGTAGGAGGTTGAAATCGAAGCTCTTGGAACACCATTAAAAACCATAAAAAGGTAAGTATTTTCTGTGCAAAAATGGTTAAGAATGTGGTCGCCTAGTCAACATAAGTATGTATGTGTGACTCTAGCACTTCTTTATGTTCCTTTAACTGAAAAAATATTTCTTAGAAAAAATTTAAGGAAGCGAAAGTCTCATATAACTTAAAATCTGACCGAACAGCTGTAATGTTTTGAGTGTTCTACGGCGACGAAGTGTTGAATATATCTTTCATAGTCTTTTGCATTCATAAAACCAAAGGGAAAAAATGGAAGTCACATTGTCGAACTCGAAGGTCTTGGAATACCATCTAAAACTATAAAGTAAGGAGTCTTTTGTGTGTCAAAATGTTTTGGAATGCGTTCGTAGAGTCAACATGAGCGTGTATGTGTGACCTTAGCTCTTCTTATAGTTCATATTAGTGAAGAAAGATTTCTGAGAACCAACTTAAGGAAGCCAGAGTGTCACATAACTAAAAACCTGAACAAAAACTCTAATGTTTTCAGGATTCTACAACGACGAAATCTCTTGTTGAAACCTTTTCAGAGTCTTTTGCATTCATAAAAACGAAAGTGAAACCAGAAAGTGTATAATACTTCATTCGCCGAATAGCGGTCGCATAAAATCCAGAACTAGATTGATATCTGGGATTTGGCTAAACAGTCCGATCTACTTAAACGGAACGATTTTTATCCGGCCAAGGACTGTCAACTCGACTTCATTCCAATCTTCGGAAAAGCAAAGCACTCATGTTCATAGATCACAATTGCTCAGTAAATTAAGAAAGACGTTCTCATGGACAGTTAAACTCTTTGAATCGACCGCACGAACTTCATAATATATATCTACGAGGCTAATTCGGCTCATACATATTTTTGTATTTTTTTTGTGAGATTTAAAGTTCATATTTTGAAATCCTTTGTGAGGTTAGAAGCTCATATTTTGAAATACCTTGTAAGGTTAGGCAACAACTATTTTTGTGTCAGAAATGTATATATTACGCCACCATGTAGTTATAGACTTGAAATAACACTAGTAGCCTAAATAGCTTGACACTTTAAGGTTATATTATGTTTTTTGTCTTAAGTCTATATCTCATGAAAATCTTCCAGTGTTAAGACTTTGAAGAGATAATATGACTTGAGATTTTATGCTGGTAAACTAAGTATTAACAAAGTAGATCGGCACTTACCCCTTATAAAGGCAGGAGTTGATGTTCTTCCGCAGAATCTGCAATATAGAAAAAAAGAGACTATTTTTATGTCTGTTATCAACATAAAACTAGTTGAAATGTCTTAATCTATAGAGAGGTTGTCGTTTTCGCCTGCTCAGTTTGAAATTGTTTGCCTTGTCGGCGCTAAAGCATAAACAAGTTTGAAAAAACCGAGCGAGTGCGTTAAACCGTAATAAAATGTTTATGAACTTTCCATGTATGAATGAGTTTCGTGACAGATAATAACAAATTCAGAGTGGAAAAGCACAAAACCCAAACAAAAGTAGATAAACAAGATAATGCAAAAGCAATGATAGCGAAAGTTTCCACTGCAGGCGCATAAATGACAGCTGCCAAAATGGCAAAAACAAAAACAAAAAATGAAATAAACTGAAAAATAAAATTAAATAGAAACCGGCGAAAAACGGCTGCACGAAAAAGTAAAAACAAACTCGTTTTCTATTGGCAGGCAGCGCGCCACAGCAACAGCTGCCACAAACGGCGGCAATTGCCACATTAAACCACTTTCATTTATGCATTAGTGACGACGGCGCAGCCTGATTAAGCCGAAAGTGGTTTGTGATTTATGAAATTAGCCGGACAAAGCGTCGCAAAACAGTTAACAACATCGGCTAATGCTATAAACTGGCCAAAACACGAACTTGAGTGCTTACATACTTTTGAGCGTACTTACGTGCTTCTGCACTTAGCTACTTACTTATAGTAGATACCTAAAGGCCTACAAGACAAGGTAACTTCACACTTAACTAAGTACACTAACTTAAGTACTTACGAACTTACGAACTTACGAACTTATGTTGTATATATGTACATATATACTTATGTGGTACTTATGTCTGTGCTGAGGTACATATCGTCACCTAAAATGTAAAATAACGTAACAACACTTTTTATAAGTTTAAAGGCGAAGGAAAATCGATATAATAGAAACCACTCATATTGAAACCAGATTTCAGTTTTGGTTATAAAATGGTTATATATTGGTTATGTCCGGCAACGAAAGCTGAACTTTTTTTTTTAAGTATGTTATGTGTTGTAGTGAATCGTAAGCAATAAAAAACTCAATTGCGATTTTTTTGTTGCTACGTTGTTTTTCATTTAAGACGACGATATGTGGCCGTGCTCTCATTTTTAAGCTTGAACTGGCGAGCTTATGCGCATAGGAACTAATATATTTCTATAGTAATATATTTTATTGCTTAAGTAATTAGTTGCCTAAGAACTTACATAATGAGAAACTTAAGTACTTATGTGCATAGGTATCACCAAATCATGAAAAACAGTTAACTTTTGCCGCAACGAACCTAGAATTACCTTCAAACACAACAAATCCATAAAAGAACTTTATAGGGTTGGGTCAGCTTGTTGGACAGCCATATGATTTAGTGATCCGATCTAAACAGTTTCTTCGGAGTTTTCAGCATTGCTTTAGATAATAATTCACATCGAATTTCGTGAAGATACCTCTTCAAATAAAAAAGTTTCTCCTACGCGGACTTGAGTTGGATGAGCCAGTTTGCACGGCAACTGTATAATATAGTCGTCCGATATCGGCCGTTTAAACAAATGATCAGCCTGTTGATGAGGAACGGACTGGTGCAAAAACTTAGATCGACACTTCATACATAAATACTAATGAGTAATAAAGTAAACAAGAAATCAGAAAATGCCAGCGTCTAAAACACTTAAAAATTTATTAGAAAAGAAACAATAAACTTAGATATTTGCACAACATAAAAAGGCGTCGCTCTGGTCGCGAGTCGTAAAAAGGGATTGCTGCTACCCGCGATTACTTTTCTTATTACAATTTTATTATTTTAGATGAGCATTAGAAAAAATGCCGCCGACCTTCTGGCGCGCTGTGTGGCAACCCAAAAAGTTAGCTGTGTCGCGCACTCGACGCGTTTGACACTCTGCATATCAAGTTCCAACATTGTGCGTATTATGGCGCGGCCGCTGCGAGCTGCCCAAATATATTGTAAGTTATGGCGCGGTTTGCTGTGATGCGAGCAAACGGCAGCGCGCGTCAAAGCACGTCTCGCAGACACAGATACGCGCACACTCACTTGTTGCCAAGCGGTAGCGCGCATTTTTTCATATTTTTTGTTTGTAATTTTGCACTAACAGCAGGCGCCGTCGCCAAACTAGAGGAGCGCTTGAGTGGCGTCGCGCACAAAACAAATTTTCTATGTTGCCGCGTGGCTTTTGGTGTAATTAATGCAAATAAAAATATTAAACAAATGAAGCCAAGCGTAGACGGCTGGCTAGCGCTGAACAGCGTTACTCGTTAACCTCATGCGTTAATCATCATTAACAGCGGCGTATGGCACATTATCGTCTTCAAATCGCACAGCGCTTATTCGTCATCATGCGCTTATCCGTAGTCATCAGCAGCGTTGGCTTCTGACTGATGAAGAGGTAATTGAACCGTGTCTAACCTTGACTTAGGCGCTGCTCAAGTGCGCTTTATGGCGACTTTGACTTTGTGGTCGCTCGCCGCGTCAGCTGTTGCAAAGCAATTTTTGGTTTTGTTTTTGTTTGTTTACGCCGCTGGCATTTCTTGCCTCACCTCGATGGCTTCTGTGTGCTTGGCGCTGTTCAAGTGCGTAATTGTGCGCAGCTGTTACTTGTTGTTGTGGTTGTTGTTGCAATTAGTGTTGTAAATGTTTGTACAAGGTGCCATAACACTTTGGGCGATTGTGTGTGCTTTTGAACTTGAAAATTTATTGACCACTTTTTTCGGCGCGCGTGTGGCCATAAATCGCTTTGAGATGCTTAGTATTTGGGTAAAGAGCACTCATGGGATCATAAACACTTTAAATGGATGCAGTAACTTTAAATTGTGGATGAAGTGATGATAAAGATTGCGCAATGGAGGTCAATGTGTCTAAATGGACGGATGAGGCGGTAGACTATAGGTTTTAAGGCAAGCACGGACTGATGAACCAGCCCTGTAAAAGAATATGCTCTGAATAAGAGGCTGCCCAAATCAGGTTAAGCAAAGAAAACGGCATAACTCTTGTCAACAGGTATTACTCTTGAGAAGTAAAGTCCTCCCGACGACGAACAAAGCTCAAACTATATAAGTCACTTATTATTCCCGTTCTTTTATATGGTGCAGAAGCATGCACGATGACAATATCTGATGAGTCTGAAAACTCTCCAGCTCTGAAAGTATTCGTCGCAGTACCCGCCGGGGAAGCAGAGGAAGACCTCCACACCATTAGAAAGACCAGGTAGAGAAAGAAATGGCTACAGTTGGAATCCCCAATTGTCACTTAACAGCGAAAAGGAAGAACGACTGGCGCTGGTGTTGTAAACTCGGCGCTAACCGGGTATACAATATTCATCCGGATTTTGTAAGGTTGATTTTTTTGGGAGTGAATCTTTGATTGTATCCGTGTCAGACCTAAACTCGAGTTCCAGAGCTCAAACCCTTGAAACGTTGTGAATCAGCATTTGAGCTTTTAAGGACTTTATTGGAAGTGCGTATACTAAAACAAGTTGGCTTTCTTCCAAATTTCTTGAAAGAAAGTAATAGCCTACAAGTGAAACAAAACCAAATTTCTAAGGCTATCCGTGCCTATCCGGATTTCGACAGGTTGATTTTCTTAATAACGAATCTCTAGTTGCATCCGTGTCTGCTTGAAACTTAAACTACAGAGCTCTTAGAGCTCAACACTAACACATTGTGAATAAATGGTCAGCGGAGGGTTTGAAGACTTTACCGAAGGCGCTTATACCAAGGTACGTCTTCCAAACTTCATATAAGCTTTGATAAATTACAGCTCAGACGGTATACTAAATTTCTAAGCAAAAATAGTAGCCAAGCGGAATCTATGATTATTGCTTTTCCTAACAAAGCAACATCAGCCGAGCCTCAATTACTCTTAAACTATTACGTCAGACATAGACCAAAAGAGAGTACCAAGAGGCTGGAAGAGTACGTAATTACGACCTCAACTTTATAGCCACATTTCTAGCTCTAAAGTCAGTAAAATTTTCAGCCTGTTCTTAACCCGTAACTTCCTCTAAATTCTTTACACGTCGCAACAGGTTAATCCGAAGTGACGACCGACAATCATTACCCTATTTCATTATCTACACTTTATTATTCTCCATTAACCCCAAACCGTCTACTTGCAGGCACTCTCTGACAGCTCCATTAGCCGCCGCATATCTAGGTATACGAGTATGCGCTGGCGCACCCAAAAGGAAGAGAACAAGCGTGAAAAGCGGCATAAAAGCCATGCTGTTAAGCGCAAGATCGTCAATCTTCGCTGATTCACTGGGCAAGTGTAAGGCCGCGTTGTCGGCCGACACGTAAACACATGAACTTCCCACGCCAGCTTTTTCGTCTCCCCTCACATTAATTACTTAATTACAATTTGCTTTCAGAATTGCGCGCGAACTAAATCTAAGTTAATCTACAGCGGATGTTCTACCTGTTGGACGGCGATGTGGCGCGCAGCCACTGCAAGCCCAGCGCAATCTTCTTGCAATTTGTCATAATTTTTATATGCGTATCGACAAAACCGGCCGAGCCAACTGACCGACTGGGCCGTACGCTCACTCAAAGGCTGAATGAAAATCGCATGAACGCACAAGTGAGCAAAGTGAGACGCGTAAGGCGGTGCAGGGGGCCATACGGAATGTAGCCAGCCTTTTGGCGCTAGAAAGTTGCGCGTGAGATGCTATTGACCTCGACGGCAGTAATGAATGACAGCGGAGCGTTGCAAAGATTAATTGCGCAGCTGTGCGCCGCGCGCGTTGCCGCTTTAATTGGTCTATAATCGCGGTAATATGCAACGATATGCGCAAATTTGTGGTAGCAGCTGTAATTTCGACTTTAATGCTGGCCGTTTTTTTGGGGGAAAATGTGAGACGTTTAATTCGTGGCTGTCGTATGGAGTTCGAGGGGTGTAAGCGCAATATTTATGTGATTATAATAGCGAAATGACAGCAGCAGCGGTGGAAATGCCAACGACCAGGCGCA